TGTGTGTGTGTGTGTGTGTGTGTGTGTGTGTGTGTGTGTGTGTGTGTGTGTGTTGTTCTCGTATGTGTGTACAGTGGGGCCAAATAGAGTTTGGTTTAATATTTCATATTGTTTCTACTTGTTTTGTTTTAGTTCCATAGTATATAAAATAGATTTCATATACAAAATTAGTTTCTTTATATATATATATTTTTTTTCAAATTAAAAAAAATGTGTTTTTTTTTTTGTTTTATGATTTAAAAAGACAAAAATATGTTTAGAATTGTTGATGCCAGTGTTTAGCTCTCGCTCTCGCTTTCTCTCGCTTCGACACTTCACTCCACTATCGCTTGCTCGCTCGCGCCCCCCTCTCTCTATCTCTCTCTCTTTCGTTCATGTGCTCTCCTACTCGATCTCTCTTTGTTTTTTTTTTTTTTTGGCAGGCAGTGCTTCAATGTTTGTTAATTTTGTTTTTTTCTCATACCTTTGCAGTCAGCTCTTGGGAATTCTAGATGTTTTTTAGTACATTTTTTTTTAGATATGAGAGATATGAAAATAGGACTGTTGTTTTGTCAGCTTTGGGATTATTGCTTTTAGATCGTTTTTAGTACAACTATATAACAATTTTAGATCATATGTGGCAATGAGCTTGCTCTGCTTCTTCTTTGCAGTTTTTTGTTAGGATTTTTGTGTTTTAGTACATTTCTTAGATCATGTATGCGAATTGAGCTGTTCTTTTAGTGTTCGTTCTAGCAATTTGACTAAGATTTATATAGCATATGCATATAGGGTGTATAGCACTTTTTTATATAGTCACATCGTCTGCATTTAGATCCGCAAATCTGGCTGAATGAAACATGTATATACATATTTCTCTACATACATACATATATGTATGTGAACTAATATTGTAATAATTTAAAAACTCTCCGTTAGCTTCAGCTGCAATGGCATTTGACACTTCGACTTAGCCGAAGCCTAATTTTTTTTTTGGCTTTAATTTTTATTTGTTACTTTGTTTTTTTTTTTTTTTTTTAGTCTACTTCAATTACTAAATATTTAAATTGTTGTTGTTGTTATTTTCTTTTCTTTTTTCAACACCTTTGTACATTTCCTTTACACATAAATGTTTATCCAACTGGCAGACGTTTGGTTTTCAATCTGTTTTGCTTGCTTTCGCTTTGACAACCCGTTCTATGCATATCGAAGAAGAAACGAAGAAAAGAAACGGCAATCAAAAAGTGCGGAAGACATAAGTGTGTGTGTGTTTGTCTGTGTGTGAGCATAAGCTCGGCTTGAAAAGCCTCAAAAATAAGCCTAAAAAATGCGCTTCAAAATAAATTTTGTATGATATATACATACATATGTGTATGTGTGTGTGTGTGTGTGTGTATGTATATTCTGACAAATGCAACAACATCAACATTAGGCATAACAAAGAAAGAGAAAACAAACAAACAAACAGTTGCAGTGCTGCAAAACGTTTACGAATAACGCGGCAAAAGCATAAAGCAAGAAATAATATATATGTATATATGTACATATATGTATGTGTATGCATGTGTGCGTTGAACTATTTGGCTATATAATATATATTGATATATATGTATATATATATTTTTTTTATTTCTTTAAGTTTAGATATATTTGCTTTAATTGTTTTTTCTTTTCTTTTTTTCAGGCATGTCCCTAAAAAAAAAATAATTGTAAATTAAAACTGGCATCCAATTTGTTTTTTTTTTTTAACAACTATTTGTTGTTATTTGTTAACATTAAATGCTTTGAATAAATTTTTGTTAGTTTCAATTTGCGCTAAAAACTTGTTTTCAACTCTTTTTTATTTTATTTTTATTTTAATATATATATATATATTTTTTTTTGTATTTGTTATTAGATTTTACAACGTGTTTGTTGCGTACGTTGCTGGCCATGTATATACACATGTTTCAATTCAGATATATATATATATATATGTAATATTTTTACATGCTTCAAAAGGCAAATACAAACGAAAGCAAAGGAAATTGGCAAAACACAAAAGAAAAACTTGTTAATTCAATAATAAAAAAAAAATGTTTCATTAAATGCAAAAAATAAGTTTTGTATATATTTCTATATGTATATATATATATATGTATTATATATGTTAAGATCATGAACGTAGCTATAAATATATTATATAAGCTATATATGTATAGAGGTGTATGGGTGTGTGTGTATATATGTATGTATGTATGTGTGTGTGTGTGTGTTTGTGTACATAAAGCATGCTCTTGAGCTTAGGACTATGAAAAAAATAAGCGCTTAAATATAAATCGCCCTCTCTATATATATATTATATTATATTATATTATATTAGACATATAAGTAGCATATATATGTGTATGCATGTATGTATGTAAGTATGTATATGTGTGTGTGTTTAATTAAAATTTATAAATTTATAACTTAATCGCTAATTAAGGAAACCACAATAATTTCAATTTAAGTTCTTAAAGCACAAAACAAAAAACTCTCTACTTTTCATACTCTTCTTCTTCTTCGAGTTCAAGGATAATAATACAAATCAAAAAGTTGGCGCATGGGGAAAGGGGACGGGTGTAGCAGGGTGGGGCGTGGCATGGATTTTTCTTGGAAGAATTGCACATTAGCATTAGCGGATGATGGGGGAGGTGTTATATTGAATTGGAACTTATTTGTCATCATATATAGAGCGAGAGAGAAATATGAACAAAATACTGACAAGATTTGACAAACAAAAAAAAAAAAAAAAAAAAAAAAAAAAACATTAAATGAGAATTCTTAGCTCTTTAAATCTTAAGTTAAATTTGGTTTCGGAAAAAAAATACTGAATGAAAGAAAAAAGAAGAAGAAAACATTAAGGATATGCACGCCTAGCAACAGCTCAAATGAAAATTTATGTATATAATTTATAATTATTAATAATTTTTTTTTTTTTTCAATAGAATTTCGAATGAAAGCAGAAAATTTAAATGTAAACGAGATCAAAGGCAAACCAAATATTGTAGGGCGTGCGAAAATAAGCAAACACATATAGTAAGAGAGCGCAATACAATGTAAGACAGAGAGAGGGACACACATATAGAGAGAGAGAATGACAGAGAGAGAGAGAGAGATAGATAGACTAGAAGCAAGGCAATTTCTAAACGAACTGCACACCAAGACACAGAGAGACGGAGATAGACAGAGACAGAGCAAGACAGACAGACACGGTTCGTGTAATTTGCTTGTGTGTGTGTGTGAAAGAGACAGCTATATATACTCGTACATCGGATAGCAGAGCAAATGCTGCTTTATCCATATTTCTTTTCCTTTTTTTTTTTTTGTTTTTTTTTGCTTTTTAGTTTTAGTTTTTTTTTGTTTGTTTTTTTTATCCTTTTTCAATTATATAGAAACAACTACAAAATACAGTTACAAATACGTTTTACACATTGATTTAGTTTAAGATCACGTTAAGATCACGAGCGCGACAGAGATAGCAAATATATATATGTTTATATACATATATGTTATGTATATAGGTGTATACAGGAAGAAAAAAACATAATCTCTCTCTAAATACATATACATATCTATAGATACATATATATTCGTTAAGGATAAATGGGCAGATACATATATATATATATACATACATACACAGATATCTATATATATATATATATATACGTATATGTATGCAAGCACACAAACATATTAGGTGTGTGTATGTATGTATGTGTATGTATGTGTGTGTGTGTGTGTATGTGCGTCAATATTTCGAATTTTATTGTTGCTGCTGCAGCTGCTGCTTCTCCTGCTCCACATCTTCCTTCTCCTTCTATTCCTGCTGCTGCTTCTCCTCCTCCTCCTCCGCTTCCTCCTCCATCTCCTCCCATTGCCCTATCCAGGATCAGCTGCACGACATGGCCACATCGTGCACACGCCTCAACCACTGCCGTTTCCTTCTCCACATTCGCTCCCAATTGGCTTCCACTCAATTGTATATAAAGTTGGCCGCATCGCAGAGGGCATCGCTGTCATCATCGAACTTGCCGTTCATCGCATAGCTGCTGGTGCCGGTGCCATAGACCCATTCCTTTTTGATGAAATCGCCGTCGGTCGTCGACGATGACGTATTGTGGAGGCCGCCCAGCGAGCTGTGATCCAGCCGAAAGTCATCGTCGTCGTCCGGATAGAGCTGCACGGGTATGCTGTCGGGTATGGAGTGCGGTTCGAATAGATTGCCGTATGGCGGCAGCGAATGACTGAGGTCCACATGATGATCGACCAAATCATTCTCGAAATTCGATATGCGAAACTTCGAACTGGGCGGCGATTGGGGCGAGTGCGGTGCGGCGGAATCTTCGAACATAACCTCCTCTTTGATGAACATATCGTTGGAATTATCGCCAGAGCCGGATGAATAGAGATTCGGTTCCACTTTGATAATGGCCGCTGTGGCCAAGGACGGTGAGGATTTCTCATCATCATCATCATCATCGAAATGATTGTGATGCTGATGGTTATGATGTTGTTGCTGTTGTTGTTGCTGCTGTTGCTGCTGATGATGCGGCTGTTGGTGATTATGATGTTGGTGGTTGTGATTATGATTGTGATTTAGCTGCTGTTGCTGTTGTTGTTGTTGTTGTTGTTGTTGCTGCTGCTGATGATGATGATGTCCATTGGTGGCTGCGCGCAACTGCACGCTCGTCTCATCCTCCTCATTATTATTATCATCATCATCATCATCATCGTCCATATCCGCCAGATGACGACGTCGGTGGTGGTTTCGGTGGTTATTACGCGGCTGTTGCTGTCCAGCCACAGCACGCACATTGCTGCTGCTGCAATTGCTCGTTGCCTGCTGCTGTTGCTGCTGCTGCTGTTGTTGCTGCTGCTGCTGTTGCTGCTGCTGCTGCTGTTGATGATTGCGCGTGCTGCGTATTATTGTGGAGCCGCCCAGTGCCGCAGATGAGGCTATAGACAGGGGCACCCCCGTCGCCTTGGACACCAGCACGGTGGAGGAACACGATGTGGATGAAGATGACGGCGATTGCGCCGGCGAACCAACTGAAAGCAGAACAAAAGCAGGCATTAGTCAAGCGACAACTAAGCACAGACTAACTAGCGATAGTCGTGTATGCTAACTGGAATCGAACACCTCATATATACGTCAGGTTCTTTATAAGCTAAATGGGAATAGATTAGTATGCCTTTGCTCGTACATCAAATGTTACACAGGAAAAACTTGTATAGCTTAAATATAATGTATCAAAGTGGAGTTATTTGCAAATTCATTTTTAAGGCAGTATTAATAATACAAATTGTGGAGCTGTGAAGCTTAAAAGAGATTTTCGATTAACTAATTTTGGAATTCATACACAACTA